ATATATTACAAGATGCATTATTTCCAATACTTTAAGTGCTTTTTTTTTTATGTTGAGATTATTGGGTTTGAGGATTTTTTTAGCATTAAAACAACTTCTTCTAGTGAGTTTTTGAGGTGTGCCTTAGTTTGTTGTTTAGGGCCTCAGCCTTATTACGAACTTTTTCTGCATTGTAACCTTCATTTTGGTTGTTGATTAATAAAAGTTATATGCACTTGTACAAAAAAAAAAAAAAATCTAAAACAAGAAGCAATCAAGGATTAAAGTAAGGGTGTGAATTTTCCAGACCTCTTATTTCTTTGTTTTGATTTCATATTGTTTTACTCCTTTTTTCTCCCTATGAGGTTTCGGTTTCTTGGGAATCTCTTCTTCTTCTTTTTCCTTTTTTGGGTTAAATAAAAGGTCAAAAAAAGGAGATTTATAAAGGTTGATAATGGTTGTTAGGTTCTAAAGGATATATCCTTGGGGTCCAAAAAATATTCTTAATGTGAATTTTACCCCGAGGGCACAAATGTACAATATGCGCCCAAGGGAGCAACAAATCTTATAAAAAATAGATTATGACTCAAAAAAATCAATCAAATGAAAATCTCATTGAGTATGCCTTACCTGATAATAGTCCCATGAACACAAATTTTCAAGATGACGCAATTGTTGACATTAAAGTATCAAGAAGGAATGAATTGTACCTTGGTGAGGCGAGGAATAAATAAAGATTTAGGCACGATACTCCAATCACCAAATAAAGAAATGATTCCCATATCTATATTGAAAATGGAAAATGCAAACATGAGACAAATTCTTTCCTTCTTCGGATTTGTATTAAATTTCTGGATTGCATCTTTAAGGAGCATCAAATGATGCTCCAATCATTACATCTTACTTGAGAAAACCTTTAATTTTCTAGAGTTTTCGGTGCATCGTTTAGGAGCATCAAATTATGCTCAAATCATTATGTCTTACTTGAAACAACCTTTAATTTATGGAGTTTTAAGGATTAATATGAAAAGAATGAGGCTGGGGTGGGCTGGGTTGTGGTGGTAGTACCACCTAAACTCTAATTAAAGGTGACAGGTTTCTATTTTCACTAACACCTTCAAAAAATTCACTATATTCTAAATGAGTAAGGGCTTATATTCCCGTTGACCTAACCCTCCCCCACAACCCCGAAAAAGAAAAATTATATAGAAAAACATAGAACATACAATGAGATGGGGGTGCTCTCCTAGAGGAGCTGTTATCCTCTTGCAACTCTTTCATTATTTCTTCCATCTCAAGGTGATTAGGACACCAAAGAAGCACAGCATCAAATGAGTCTTTGTTTGACTTCTTTTCAAGGACATTGGCTTTGCAAGGTCGCACTTTAGCTGAGATGCTTGATTCTTTGAGAGGTTCTTCTTCTTTGGGTAGGTTAACAGTGGGAATACAAGGTATGGACCTTAACATCTTTGGGGGTATCCATCAGAGAGTCAAATGTAGCAACCAGCAAGTATAAAGGTTCTCCATCTGGATACGCAAGCACTGAGGACGGCTGTCGGGTTTGCTTTTGCTAAGACATAGTGCCTCAACTTGAGTAGCCCACACAATGCTTCTCGATGTAAGTATACCAAGTCTCATAGTCCTAGGGTGGCAATAGGGGTACGTCTACCCTATCCGAGTCTGGGTCCAAGTCCAAGTTTTTGACCTGGTCGGTGGATCGGGTCCAGATCTAAGTCCAATCAAATATATCTACATACACACACATCTAGGGGGAGTATGAAGTCAGCATGCTAATTGACAACTACAGTAAACGACTAATGGCTCAGATTGAATTTGGACCGATCCAATGGTCACGATGACATTTTGTATTTAAACTTTAACATTTTTTTACAAATCTAATTCACTTTAAATTTTGAGAGTCTACTATTAAAAACTAGGTGAACTCAATAAGAATGCTTAAAAATAATAATTTATAAATAAACGAATAAATATTTTAATATTTTCATTAGGTGCACCTCAATGAGAAGAGTGTAAGCTCCAAATTCAAAGTGATTTGGATTTGTAGAAAATAGATTAAAACTCAAATACAAAATATAATTGTGATCATCAAATTGGCCTAAATTTAATGTGGACCGTTGGGCTTACACTATTCTATAAGCTAGTGGGCTAACAGGATCTTGTGTATATATATATAAATTTTCTCGACCTTTGTGATACACTAAGCTATAAGGTTTCATATCGGATGGTTGTAAGTAATTGTGGTCTCCTTG